CCCTGCTGAACTGAACTAGGTCCCGCAGGGCCCTGATTTCCTCCGGGAGCTCATTCCACCAGGTAGGAGCCGCCACCGAAAAGGTCCTTGTGGCAGCAAGCCTGGCCTCCTTGGGGCCCTGGGTCACTGGGCGGTGTTGTGACCCCGACTGAAGTGCTCTTAGGGGCCTCTTTTACATATGGGGTGGATCCCATGATCTGCCAGAGGAAGGTGCTGATGGATGAAGATCTTTCCAAGCCCAGGAATGTTGATTCCCTGAATTATGTGTACTAATAGCCATGCAAGATGGGGAGCTGTATGAAGGGGGAAGGGTAGGGTTGCCCGCTCTGGGTTGGGAAATACCTGGAGATTTGGGGGGTTGAACCTGGGGAGGAAAGGGTTTAGGGATGGAAATGGCCTCAGCAGGGTATAATGCTATACAGTCCAACTTCCAAAGTAACCATTTTCTCCAGGATAACTGATTTCTGTAACCTGGAGACCAGTTGCAATTCCAGGAGATCTCCAGTCACCACCTGGAGACTGGCAATGCTAGGGAAGGGCACTTTCTCACAGGGCAGCTGGTCTTATATGGCTGCTATTGAAGTGGAAGAATCAGTCATTCTGAACCAGGAGCACCTTTTCAAAACATGAGAGCTACCACCAAGCACCAGTGTAACCTCTGTACTTTGTCCATCCCCACACGGGTTAAGTTTGTACTTGAGTTTAAAAACATTATCATGCCAATTATTGTTCATGCATCATGCTTTCCTTGGGTGGATCCTACCCCTTGTCCTCCCATTCCACTGAGCAAAGTTTGAAGCCTTCCTCCAACAATGCTTCCATTGGAGGAAGTGCCACTTAATTTGGAGGAAGGCTTCTTAGGTTGGAGAAAGATACCTTGAAGGGTGGCTGAAATCACTTTAGTATTTCCAGTAGTGATAACTAAGGACACCATTCTTATGTTTACACATACCTTTTCTTTGAATCAGATGCAACTTCTCTCAAAGTCTGCAGAAGTTAGAGAGCAGGAACTTATGACTTTTTGCTAATAGTCTCTAGGGGGGTTTAGGAGTGGTGAGACTGAATGAAAACAAACAACTTATGGCCAACTCTGTATTGGTCAGGTATCAGTCAACATGCTACTGGAAATGAATCTTTCACATCAATGTCTTTTTTTAATTTGTGGCCTCTGACTTTGCTCACGCCCATTGTCCTTTTAAAGCAGGTTTCATATAACATGCTTTGACCACATGCTGCCAGAAGGTGCAAGAACTACCCTACTTGAAAGAAAGTTATTGAGAGATGTGCCAGGATTCAGGACCATTTCCATAGGATAAAAATATAACTTTCCCTACTTACACATTTTGTTAATAGAACAACAGAATTCATACAAGAGGGCTTGGAAAACAGCTTAGAGATCACCAATAGCATCAGCCACTTATAGGCCAATTCTATGGATATGAAGTAAATATGCTCAGGATTGCTGCTTAAGTTAACAAAGTGTCCCAGATAAATAACTACCCTTTTTGTAACAAGTAAGGAGAAAAGTCTCACCATGCAACCAGAGCTTGCAGATAGCCATACTGGTCCAAAGTAAAGCCCCAAAGCAAAAGCTGCATAACTTCTTTCATTAGGGGAACAACCAAAATGTCACCAAAAAAGGGTGCAAGAGAACAGTGTATCAGGCTGGATGATTTTTGAAAAATAAGGGGAGGGGGATGCCCAAAACATATTTTCCCCCCAAAACAAACATCCAGTATGATGAAGAATTCTGTAGAACTCAAGAGCTTGCACACTGTTTTGTCTCGTTATGTAGACCAACCAATAATTTTACCATTCACTTGGTACATGTGGTCCTTCATAGGACTACTTGGAAAAAAAAAACATGTAGAAGATGCTAAATTCTACAACAAGGTTAAAAAGTGAGATCATGAGGTTGGTAGGTGTAACAAAGAATACTGTAGTGGGCACATGAATTCTAACACATCTCTCAGTTCATGCAGAGCAAGCCAAGAAAAATTGTGGTTTATTAAGCATTCCTGTGAACGTACATCTATTAGGAACTGCTGCCACTCTTGACCATGGTTAAGTCTACGGATGACTTACTGTTGGTTTCAAGACTTTCACAAAGTTCAGTTTTGACCTCGCCATTTGGTCTGTCATTTCCCTTTTGGATCAGCTTGCTTTGCATTGTGGCTGCTGTCACAACAGCCTTGAAACTCCTCTTCCGTTTTTGAACATTTTGCTCTGGATGAAAAATGATAATATAAACTTTGGGCATATAGAGCATGCCCAGAGATACAGAAGCACTTAAACTCATGGACACTGTAAGTGTTGTTGTCTGGATGTACATCTAGAAAAGAGAAAATAAAATATGATAGCATAATCAACATCAGGAAAACTTACATAAAACGTTTCAGCAATGGCAGTAGCTTGCTTAAAACATTTGCTACATATTACTTCTTATTCAAAATCTGGGACAATGCTACTTTTAATAAACTGGGATAAAGATCTGGATTCTCACATGCTTACTAAATTAACGTATGCTGCGGTCACACAGAACATTAGCCACACTAGAGAGACGGAAGACAGGCGGAGTTTCCGGGCGCGATCTCACCAGCACATCTGGGAAGTGTAGTGCTTCCTTGGCTCAACCGAGGCTTCCCGCCGAAGACACGCGGCAAAAAACTAGTACCTCGGAGGTACTAGTTTCTGGAAACCGCGGGACAAGGGCGGGCGCCTGATCACGTTTCCGGTGGAATCCCATGGCATCCGGTGCCCGCCCATGTCCCGTCGCAAAGAAGGGTTTTTTTTAAAAAAAAGTCTCCGCAGGATGCGCACAAGCACCCAATGGTGCAAGCGCATATTTCGGTTTAAAAAAAAAACCTGTTTGCCACGGCAGCGCCACTTCTTTGCCACGCCATCTGATTGGCACCTCCCCGGGTTCCCCACCACCACCACCAGACATTGGCAGGACATGTGATCCCGCGGCCGCGCGGTAGTTCGCTCCGGGGCAAACAGCCATGCCTCCCCCCCACGATATCCAGCCCGTGTGACCGGGTCCGTAGGGTCACTGAGATGGATCCAAAGTTTGGCTTCCATTAATAAAAGGCACTTCCATAAATGGAACCTTTCTGCCTCCCCCTTCCAGCTGCCAGCCACTGAGCTACCTGAAATGATCCTATGGGATAGGTGATACAGAAAACTTCTGTTCCATTGATGAAAAAGCCTTTTGTTGATGAAAATTTTGTCTGTGTCCTAGGCAGTGCTCCCTCTAAGCTGTGGAGTCATGTGAGCAAAAATTCTACTTTGTGAGCTACTGACATTAAAGTTGTTGGCGAGAGATTTGGCTACTGTATAAATTAGTGTGCTCTGGAGCCATCCTTCCTGAGCTAAGACAAAAATGTGTGAGCCAGAGGCTAAAAACCTGTAAGCTAGCTCACACTAACTCAGCTTAGAGGGAACACTGGCTGCGGTCACATGTACCAGTTGGAGCAGAGGGGAAGTGAGGCTACTTCCTCTGGAGGAATTTGACTCACAGCTGAGAGATCACACATCCCTTTGTGCTGCGGGCTCAGCCCATCACTGTGTGATCAGATGCCACTGCGAGTGAGTCTCTTTCTTTGCCCTTTCCCATGCACATAAAAGAGGAATTGCACCTCCGCACAGAGGGTTCCCCATGGAGTATGTGATTATGTGAATACTGCAAAGGGAGGAAAAACTGCACCGAGTTTGGATGGAATGATCAGACCATCCCGACAGTATAAGAGTGTGCTTGAGAGATCAGACGGGAATGTCTGTCCGTGGTCCATTGGAACCATTTAGAGCTGGACTTTCCCTAGTGTCTTTTAACTCTGCTTCTGTGGTGGAGCAGCATGGGTTGCCAACAACTGCGGGACGTTTCCCAGATGTTGCTGTCTGATTGTGCCTTTTAGATCTGTCAGGCAATCACAGCTATGTTGGATCTAAAGATGCATATGATCACAGCCCTACAGTATCAGATTTCAAGATACAGCCTTATGTATAATTTTGTAAGCAATACAGACATTATTTGGGGTGCGTATTCTTGTTTAAACAACAATAAAATTCCCTCGGCAATGATATAAAGGAAGGAAGGAAGGAAGGAAGGAAGGAAGGAAGGAAGGAAGGAAGGAAGGAAGGAAGGAAGGAAGGGGTGTCATGCAGTTAAATTGTGACACATAAGCCAAAACAATGTTTCAAACACGTTATCTTTAATTAGAGTAAATGGTCTGTCCTCTGCCCTCCCACTAATGAGCGAGCAGTCTTTTTAAAAATCTACAAAGAAATAAGAGTGTAATATCTTTGGTTTGGGGTTATAAACCAGTATGGCTGAGCTAAATTTAAAAAGCTTGAGACTATGTTCATCCAGTCTATGAAACAGAACCTTCTGGAACATTCTTGCAGTTGGTGTCTGGAACACTGTTAAAAATGGCAACATGAGACAAACAAAATTTACCTTGAAAAACTGTGGATTTAGTGTTTTAATCCCTGGCCTGCCAGAAAATGAGTTTTTTCCACAGTGGAACTGAAGTAAGTGATTGCAAACAAAATTCTACATTGGTATTGAATTCTAATGACAATATATTATGGTATACAATAAATACTTTGGGAATCTATGAGTGTTACAAATAGGCCATCAGAATATATTGCCTGTGAGAAAACAATTTGAAACAAATCTTGTTTATAGCAGGAAGCTGAATTTCTCCTCAGACTTTTCACATTCACCTATTTGGAGGCATGACTTTTGTTAACATGACTTGTTTTCTTTCCTCTACTTCCAGAGGGAAGAAAACACTTCATTAATGCTACCGTGATTTGACATTTCATCTCTCTCTCTCTCTCTGTGTATATGCTGGAATGAAAGAGAACTGATAAATCGTTGCCCTGCACCATGCTGGAATATGAATTGTTCTAAAGCCATGCTCACAGTTCTTTCACCTTCCTGTTCACTCAAAACTTCCAGCTAAAACATTCTCTCTTATAACCAGTAGTAAACACAAGCTTTACTCAGTTTGGTTTGATTTGAGCACAAAAATTCTCATTGTGTGTCTATGGGGTGTATCTATGGGGTGGATCCAAGGCTGTGGTCACACTGGCGGCTTGGCACGGTGTGGTAGCACCTCAAATTCTACTGATTCAAAGTGTAGTGGAGTATTCCATTCAGACTACACACCCTATGGTGGGTTACCCATGCAGCCGTCCCATGGGGGGGCATACACATTAGTGTTGTGCTTCAACCACAGGACGAGCCATAAGGGTGGATTTTATTTAAAAGCAAGCAGATGGATGCACACATGCACTCATGCGCATATAGGCAGCAACTACAAAAACAGTGACAGAAATGGATCTGCAAGTTCAGACATCCCTTCTGGGTTCCTTCTGCTGCAGAAGAGTTCAGACATTGGAAAACCCAGAGGGAACCCTGGACAACCCATTTATACCAGACTTTCCCCCGGCATCTGTTTATTCCACTTCCATTGACGGAAAAGCAAAGGCTGCTGACGACTGCACCACAGGAGGCAAAGATTCTCATCTGGAGGGCCCATTTATTCCGTTCAGGTAATGTTACTATAGTGCCACAAACTGTGTGTGTGACCGCAGCCCAAATGTGCCATTCCACCAGTATAATTTTACTTACACCAACAGAACAGCATTTCTACTCACAGATAAGGGAAGGGCAATTTTTGTCTACTTCTCCCCTCCCAATGCAGATTCCCCACTCTGACCCCCACATTCTTCCTGATGGTCTCTTGACTTCCAGGTATGGTTGCCATCATCCAGTTTGGGCCTGGAGTTCTCTGGAGTTACAACTGATCTCCAAATTACAGAGGTCTATTCCTTTAGAAGAAATGGCAACTTCTCTATGCAATTACAGACTGATTCCCCACAAGAAGCTGTGCCACCCTCGCTCTTCTATTTCCCGCGCTTGCATCGGTCAATTTCACACTATTCGCTGTGTGGCCGCATTTTGACCCACAGCTCCCCCTGATTTCCCCCACATCTTCTTGATCTCAAAAAACAAGGATCAAGAAGACACAGGGGAAATAGAATAATAGAATCATAGAATGTTAGAGTTGGAAGGGACCTTGCAGGTCATCTAGTCCAACCCCCTGCACTCTGCAGGAGCATAGCTGAAAGATAGCCCTACAACATACCCGAAAGATGGTTGTCCAGCCTCTGCTTGAAAACATCCAGCGAAGGAGCATCCACCACCTCCCGAGGCAGTCTGTTCCACTGTTCAACCACTCTTACAGTTAGCCAGTAACAACTCCCTTGTAATTTCCACCCATCAGATCTAGTCTTGCAATCTGGAGCAAGAGAGAATAGATCTGCTCCATCTTCTACATGACAGCCCTTCAAATATTTGAAGACTGCACTCATGTCCCCTCTAAGCCTTCTCTTTCCCAGGCTAAATGTACCCAACTCTTTCAGCCTTTCCTCATAAGACTTGGATTCCAACCCTCTCACCATCCTAGTTGCCCTCTTCCGTACATGCTCGAGCTTGTCAACATCCGTCCTAAAATGTGGTGCCCAAAATTGGACACAGTACTCCAGGTGAGGCCTGACCATAGCAGAATAGAGTGGAACTACCATCTTCCTTGATCTGGACACAATGCTTCTGTTAATGCATCCTAAGATTGCATTAGCTTTCTTCACAGTCACATCACACTGCAGGCTCATGTTTAGCTTCTGATCACACAGAACACCTAGATCCCTTTCACATGAGCTGCTGTCAAGCCAAATCCCTCCCATTTTATATCTATGCCTTTGGTTTTTTATACCTAAATGTAGGACTTTGCACTTATCTCTACTGAAATTCATTTTATTTGTCTCAACCCACTGTTCCAGCCTATCTAGATCATTTTGAATCCTGACTCTGTCTTCTTCAGAATTAGCAATCCCACCCAACTTTGTGTCATCTGCAAATTTGATAAGCATCCCCTCTATGTCTTCCTCCAGGTCATTTATAAAAACATTGAACAACACCAGGCCCAGGACCGAACCCTGCGGCACTCCACTCGAGACTTCCCTCCACGTAGATGCAGAGTCATTGACAAGCACTCATTAGGTACGATTTTTCAACCAACCATGAATCCATCCAACGGTTGCACCATCCAGCCCACACTTAACCAGCTTATCCTCAAGGATATCATGAGAAACTTTGTCAAATGCTTTACTGAAATCTAGATACACTATATCCACAGCATTGCTATAGTCAACCATTTTAGTAACTCTGTCAAAAAAGGAGATAAGGTTGGTCTGGCATGACTTATTCTTGATAAACTCATGTTGGCTACTACCAATTAACTCATTCCATTCAAGGTGCTCACA